CAGTGTACTTTGATCATTCTCCACTTGTATACGTGTCTGTTAGACATACGTGCATGCGTTAAGTAATTCTAACCACAAAAGGAACACACAGTTGGTCTCTAGTGAGCTCATTCGTCCACTGGAAGCTTCCCGAAGCATCGATGTCGGGAAAGCCCAAAGACTTCCTAGCCGCACCGACATACACCAGGGGCGTTAGGTCTCGTCTGGGAGGCTGAACGCCCCCAAAAGTCACCGGCTCTTTCGGCTGGTTAAACCTGCTAGCGAATCACGGCTGGCTAATCACGGCTGGCAAACCACGTCTACCAAATCATGGCTGGCTAATCACGGCTGGCAAACCACGTCTACCAAATCATGGCTGGCTAATCACGGCTGGCAAACCACGTCTACCAAATCATGGCTGGCTAATCACGGCTGGCAAACCACGTCTACCAAATCATAGCTGGCTAATCACGGCTGGCAAACCACGTCTACCAAATCATGGCTGGCTAATCACGGCTGGCAAACCACGTCTACCAAATCATAGCTGGCTAATCACGGCACGCAAACCACGTCTAGCAAATCATAGCTGGCTAATCACGGCTGGCAAACCACGCCTACCAAATCATGGCTGGCTAATCACGGCTGGCAAACCACGTCTAGCAAATCATAGCTGGCTAATCACGGCTAGCAAACCACGTCTACCAAATCATAGCTGGCTAATCACGGCTGGCAAACTACGTCTAGCAAATCATAGCTGGCTAATCACGGCTGGCAAACCACGTCTAGCAAATCATAGCTGGCTAATCACGGCTCGCAAACCACGTCTAGCAAATCATGGCTGGCTAATCACGGCTGGCAAACCACGTCTAGCAAATCATAGCTGGCTAATCACGGCTGGCAAACTACGTCTAGCGAATCATGGCTGGCTAATCACGGCTGGCAAACTACGTCTAGCAAATCATAGCTGGCTAATCACGGCTAGCAAACCACGTCTACCAAATCATAGCTGGCTAATCACGGCTAGCAAACCACGTCTACCGAATCATAGCTGGCTAATCACGGCTGGCAAACTACGTCTAGCAAATCATGGCTGGCTAATCATGTCTAGTTATAATGGATTCTTTTTTTTTTTTTTTTTTTTTTTTTTTTTTTTTTTTGTTTTTTTTTTTTTTTTTTTTTTTTTTTTTTTTTTTTTTAAGTCTGGTCTTGTAAGGATACTTACACATAAGAAACAAACAAACTAATCGAACAAACTAATCGACCCTTTTCAGTTCTTCTCTTGGCTTTTCGTTTACAAAACATAAGTTATGGTGAAAACGTTCTCATTTGAATGCTTAATTCATCCACTAAACCTTCTAAAAGTATTTTACACAACCAAAACCAGACATACGAGATTTTTTCATACTGAGCTCAGACTGTTCACCGTCACACAGAGACATTGATAGATCTCATTATGTTTCTTCTTCTTCTTCAAAGTGTACAATATTTTTTTCTTCAACTGTGCTTTGCAACACTAGACTATCTAATTCATTTACGATTCGATTTATAAGATCTGACTAGTCAAAATACATGTTTAAAAAAGAGGATGAAATAACTTAAGCATTATATCCCCCTGGGGGCGATAAAAGATGCGACTGCACTCGTAGATGTTGAATATCAAGAGTATCGAATAATCGATTAAACACTTACCTACAACTAATAGATCAGAATAATGAACTACCGCAAAAATCTTAACTAAAAATGTTGGAGTAAATCCGATAGTGAGCACCTTTAGAACAGCCGCTAGAGAGCTCTTGGTTCTGCACTCTACGGAGTTCTGTTGCCATGGCAACTGGATATATTCTGGTAAATGCAAAAAAAAAATAAATGAATATATTCTCATTTAAAAAAAAGAAATATAATTATCTCTCCCGTTCTCAGGATATCTATTTCTTTCTTTTCTAAATTAATGGAAAATTTGTCAAGATTCTTGTCTAGAAAATTTGAGGCTTGTTGATTGACAGTGTGGACAATTATAATATCATGAATAATCTCCTTTCCGGGATTAGTCGATCACTTGTAAAATAACGAACTTCTGGCCATCATTATTTAACTTCTGGCCATCATTATTTAACTTCTGGCCATCATTATTTAACTTCTGGCCATCATTATTTAACTTCTGGACATCATTATTTAACTTCTGGCCATCATTATTTAACTTATGGCTATCATTATTTAACTTATGGCTATCATTATTTAACTTATGGCTATCATTATTTAACTTCTGGCCATCATTATTTAACTTCTGGCCATCATTATTTAACGTATGGCTCTCATTATTTAACGATATAAAAGCACGAGGAAAAAAACAACCAACAAAAAACAAACAAACAAACAAACAAAAAAATTAAAAAATAATCAGCAAAGCTTGCCGTTCAGATGTTGGGACATCCTAATTATTGCGTAAATATGGAAACAAATCTATGGATGCATGTAGTCGTCAATATGGAATAGAAAGACTAATGTATTTGATGTCATATGAATACAATTATATACAATGGACGCCCCCCCCCCCGCCCCTAAAATGCAGACATTTTCCCCTCTCCATTAATTCTACTTGTTGCAGAAGGTAGTGACGTTTCGGTGGTTCTATTCTATTGCGTGTTCCCGTGGCCCCGAGTCCTCCCTGGCGAGACCATCGTATTATTGGAATCACCGCATAAACTAAGACGCATTAGGTCTGATGGTTGAATCGATCAAACAGACTTGCGGAGCGTGCAAGTGGCAACATCGACTCGGCAAACATCGTCGCCGGGTACGTCGTCGTCCCCCCCCCCTCCCC